GCAGCCCGATTCATAACCACCACGCTACCAGAGTTCCTTTCTAGCTTCCTAGACCATGAGAAAATGAAGTTCTGTTTGTTAAAACCACCCACTTAATGGGACTTCTGTTACAGCAGCACTAAGAATCCAAGCAGACAGGATGCTGGTAAAAAAAAAAAGTAAAAGACTGTCCTCAGGAGGCTTACCATTAAGATCAAGAAAAAAAAATGTATTTGCTCATCAGTAAGAGTCCTGGTGTGGCGCTGAGGGTTAATGCGCTAAAACTGCAAGGTCAGTTTGAACCGCAAGGTCAGTCAGTGGTCAAGCTCACCAGCCACTCCTCAGAAACCCTATATACAATGGCACTTAACAACAACAAAAGGACAACAGGAAATTGAAATATAGTCAGAATTTATGAGTAAATATCATGTAGTTAAGACTCAAAAGAGGGAAGATGCTAATGGACTGAGAAGTCAAGAAAAGTCAGTGAACCAGTATAGAAGTCCATGTAGTGTGTGTAAGATGTATACTGGAAAAGAAAAGGAATTCTAAGCAAAAGAATTCTTATTAAGTTAGACATGATAAAACTGATGATGAATGTGAAGGGGTCAGAAATAAGTATGGTACATTTAGGGGGTATTGTCTAAATGAATGTTGTCTGATTTGAAGATTCACTTTAGTAAGCAGTGGAAGATAAGTCCTCAGAATTGGGTGACATAACCCATTTGTTCTGAGCTAAGGAGTTTGGGTCCTGGTGTGATGCTGTGGGTTAATGTACTGGATTGCAAAGTCAGTTTGAACCACAAGGTCAGCAGTTCAAACTCACCTTCAAGCTGCTCCTCAGAAACCTTATACAGAATTGCTATGGGTGGGAACCAACTTGACGGCACTTTACAACAACAATAAGGAGTTTGAATTTAATTTCATAAACAGTAAAGAACTATGCTGAGCAAAGCAGGACTATATGAAGAATGCAGCATCAGGATTAGAGGGAGGGTCATTTACACCAATGGAATTGCAGATGACACAACCTTGCTTACTGAAAGTGAAGAGGATGTGAGGCACTTACTAATGAAGATCAGTGACTACAGTCTTCAGTATGTATTACACCTCAGCATGTTGTTGTTGTTAAGTGCCGTCAAGTCAGTTCCAACCCATAGCGACCCTGTATAGTAATTCAGAGAAAAAGCCTCACATCTGGACTAATAAGCAATAGCATGATAAACAGGAAAAAAAAAAAAAATGAAGTTATCAAGGATTTCGTTTCATTTAGATCCACAATCAATGCCCATAGAAGCAGCAATCAAAAAATCAAATGACGTATTGCATTGGGCAAATCTGCTGCAAAAGACTTGGTTAAAGTGGTAAAAAAAAAAAAAAAGATGTCACCTTGAGGACTAAGGTGCACCTGACCTAAGCCATAGTACTTTCAATCACCTCATATGCATACAGAAGCTGGTTAATGAGTAAGGAAGAATCGATGCATTGGAATGGTGTTCACAAAGACTATTAATATAGTAGGCTTTGGACCACCAGAAGAATAAACACATTTGTGTTGGAAGAAGTACAGCCAGAATGCTCCTTGGAAGAGAGGAAAATGGGACTTCATCTTGCTTATTTTGGGAGTATTATCAGGATCTAGTCCCTGAAAAAGGGCATCATGCTTGGTGTCTTAGTTCTCTAGTGTTTATATAACAGAAATATCACACATGGAGGGCTTTAACAAACAGACATTTCTTTTCTCACAATTTATAAGGCTAGGAGTCTGAATTCAGGGAGCAAGCTCTAGGAGAAGGTCTTTCAATGTCTGGCATTGATTGTCACACATCTTCCCCTGAGTCTAGGAGTACTCAATGCAGGGTCCTGGGTCCAAAGGATGTACTCTGCTCCCAGCTCTTCTTTCTTGGTAGTAGTGAAGTCCCTTCCCTCTCTGCTCACTTGTTGTGGCATCATAGGATAACCACTTGACCTCAAGGTTGGTTTGAACTGCAAGACTGGCTGTTCAGACTCACCAGCCGCTCCTGGAAAACCATATACAGGGTCTCTTTGAGTCAGAACCGACTTGACACCACTGAACAACAATAAGATAAAAGGTATGACTCAAGAAAATGTGTGGCTTGAGTAAGGGTGGTGGCTTGAGGAAGGCAGTGACTCAAGATACACCCCCACTGACCCTGCCTTATTGTCACATAGAGGTTAGGATTAGCATATACCTCGTCACAACATGGAGGATAGCCACGCAAAACTGGAAATTATAGCCTACCCAAGATGACACATAGATTTAGGGGATACAATTCAAACCGTGACAGTTGGTAAAGTAGAGGGTCAGCAAAACAGAGGAAGACTCTCTCTCAATGGGATGAATTGACAACCATCAACCACAGTGGCTCAAATATAGTAACAATTGTGAGGATGCTGGAGGACCCCACAGTGTTTCATTCTGTTGTGCATAGGTCATTATGACTTAGAATTGACTTGACAGCACCTATGAAAACAAAATTAAAAAGAGAACTATCAAAGCTCCAATCAATCTGGCATAAATGCAACACACTTCTGTATGTTAATCCCTTTGTGGGTTTGGCTGTTTGTCCCAGCTGACCCTCTATTCTTTTTAAGGAATATCTTTCAAAATACCTTATAAACTAAATCAATGCAAAAGGAAAACGAAATGAAGTTAGAAATCTTTAGGATCTCAGGAAGGTTGCCTAAACTCTGCACCTCGTCCTATAGGAGTTGATATTGAGGCTTGCCTCACAGTAACAATCTTCCAAACTATATTTTATTTCCAAAGTTTTTACATTTACTGGGTCACTATAAATAACTCTACTGTCTCTTGGAATAATTCCCTGACGTATGTTTTATTTCCAATGTTTTTGCATTTACTGGATCATTAAAAACCACTACCTTTGAGTTGATTCTGACTTACAGTGACCCTGTATACCAGCTGTTCTGTTGGAGAAAGATGAGGCTTTCTGCTCCCATAAAGTTTCACAGCCTTGGAAACTGAATACAGGGTCGCTATGAATCAGATCTGACTCCGTGGCACATAACCAACCAACCATATGGTTTCCAAAGCTGTAAGCTTCATGTTTCTCCTACAAAGCCATTGGTGGGTTTAAACTGCCAACCTGGAGGTCAGCAGTCCAGTGCTTTCCCTACAGTGGCAACAGAACTGGGTCATTACAACTCTGGAAAGTAAAACAAAATTCCACAAAATGCATTGCTGAACTATTTCACTTTGTAACCAACACCAAACTGTCCCCATTCTCCCAAAACACAGACTAGAAAGTAAAGGGATAAGGTTACAGGCACCTAATAAATCTGAGACCAACATCCTATCATTTATTATTACTCTTCTTACCTTAAGATCATGAAGAAAATGTGGAGGCAGAAAACACATTACTGTTACACTGACAATTTGCGGTCCTTTAACTAAGAGGAGAGTCTTGGGGAGAAACAGTCACCGGGGTGATCTGGTCTCTTCCACAGGTGGCTCCAGTGATAAAAGCCAGGATGATGGAGTATGGAACCACAATGGTCAGCTACCAGCCCTTGGGAGACAAAGTCAACTTCTTCCGCATGGTCATCTCAAACCCTGCAGCAACTCATCAAGACATTGACTTCCTGATTGAAGAAATAGAACGCCTTGGACAAGATTTATAATAACTTAAGCTCACTAAGCTGTTTCAGTTCTCTAGATAGACAATTAAGTTGTCACAAGCTGTGTGAATGTATTTGTAGTTTGTTCTAAAGTAAATCTATTTCTATAGTGTGGTGTCAAAGTAGAGTACAGTTTAAAAATTAAAAACATTGCTCCTTTTAAAAATCCTTTCTTAAGTTTAGAATACCTCTCTAGTAACTTAGTGACAAAGGCTGTGTTCTAATCAATTAAGAAAAGCTTCAAATTGTTATAAATACTTCCCTTACTTTTAATATAGTGTGCAAATCAAACTTTATTTTCACATCAAAGTAGTAGGATTGAACAGTGCCAAATTGTCCCCTGAATCATAAAAGGTTCTTTGGGGTGCAGTGAAAAGGATAAAGTAAATATAAAATGTATATTGACAAATAAAAACTCTTGCCTTTTTCATAGTATTAGAGAAAAAATTTCTAATTTACCTATAGCAACATTTCAAATGTATTTAAATACATATAATTTTACAAAAGGAAAATATATATATTAAAAAGAAATCCTATTTTGTAACATATAGATTTTTATTTTATATGGGTTATACAAACTGCAGGGGCAGATATAAAACTAAGCCAGATTTTATTTTCTTTCATTTAACGGAAACACAATAAAGCACTTAGCAAAATTATTGTGAAGCATAGACCCACAAAATTCTTAAAAGATGTAATGCCTTCTTTCTGAACATGTTATGACTTACCACGTCTCTAAAGTTAGTATCTCAAAACAAAGAATACTGCAAGCTCTTTAAAATGGTTGGTCAGATCAGTTGCAGTCAACAAAAAGATTCTCTTCCCATTGAAATTCCCCCTGACCTCCCCCACCCCCCCACCCAACCCTTAGTAGATCTACCAGTAAGCAGTAAGTGCAATAAACCAAGTTTCATTTTTTATTAAATTAGGGTGATTTTCCCTACTTTGCTTTTCAATCCAGTCCGTTTTGAACAGAAGGCTGATGCTGGTTCTTGAGGCTTCTTCCCAGTCAGTATTCTTTTATTAGGTCTTTTGAATTAATTAGGGAAAATAAAAATAAAATCTCAGTGACCTGAACAACGAGGAATGAAGCACACTCCCAGAATATGGTGAGCCCCAAAAATTAAACTTGGCCTTGGGAGAAGAGAGAGATCTTGGTGTGAGAATTACAACATCAACCTAGACACCATATTGCCACAGTACAGGAAGGAGTAATTTACCTCCTGGGTAACTAACTGCTTATTCCCTTCCCTTCCCATTCCAACCCACAAAAGCCTCTCCCGCTAGGCTTTCTGTGACTGGGATTCCAAATAATTACTTTTAGTCCATGAATGTTTGTTTTCCTCCTGTGAAATGAGCTCCCCACCTTGAGTTGGTGACATCATCTTAAATCCTTTTTATGCTGCCCATTAAGAGCCAAAGTGACCAGAATATATAGAGATAATCAGATCCTTAGAACTCAAAATGATACTTTTTAAAGACCTTATTTCTCCTGAATACCTTGTGGTGAGACATAAACTAACAGAAGCTCCCATAAATATTTATGGGGGCCCAGAATGTCAGATGCCAATTGCTAGAAGGAGGATTGCAGATTCATATACGTGGACCTCAGATAAGAATTTAGAAATACTATCTATCTTTAGTCAGAAATCCTACAAGTAAGGGAAGAGAGCCTTGTCCTTCAATAGATAGAAATCCCTTAACGTAACTAGAAAATCCAACCGTCAGAAATTATCATGTGCTTGTTCCTAGATTATTTCTCCAAGATTATATACAAAAACATTCTTTTAGCCCCACTTGGATGTGACCATGGTTTTACGCCCTTTTCTTGAAAGTAAATAGATTCCCTATAATAATGAGAAGAAAACTATTTGTGCCCCAAAATTTCATGAAGAAAACGCCTACATTCTAGGCTTTTGTCAAATTCTCAAGTAGCTTTTCCCCGCCTAGAAACTTGTAAAAACTGACTGTTGAGAATAAACTGCCCATCTATCTTAAGACTCAAGCCAAATGGTCCCACTTCTGAGGAAGAAACAGGATTTTATCAAACCCACAACCTTGCTTGAAGAAGAGAGCAGAGCCAAGTACCCTGATCTGGTATGCTTACCCACTAGGGTACAATTCCTATATCAGAAGCTGCTGCCTTTTACCTTGGTAATACTGTAGAATTTAAAAGGGCAAATATTTGTGCCTAGATATGAATTCCAATAAAATAGGTTTTACAACTAGATTGTTGTCCCCACCTCCTGCCCTTCCCGGTCCTTCCCCCAGTTTGTTAGGAGCTCGGCTCAGCCCTGTGCGGTGAAATCCCTACCAGTCAGGCAGGGATGGAGACCAAATAAAAGGTGCCCCCAATTTAGTAAATGTTCTTTTAACAAAGTCTGTAAACCACTCAGATGAAAAGAAGGAAGGAATGAAGAAAGGGAGGGAGGGAGGAAGAAATAAGTAAGGGTTTTTTGAACATTCACCCAAATTCCCAGTGCCAAAGGCCTTTATATGGGTCCTTTCTTTACAACTTTGAGAAAATTTTGGTTTTAGCTTTAACCAGAATTGATATGGCCATTTTCATTTATATAGCAATATTGTGTTAATTATTTTTGAATACTTGAAAAAGAAGTACAGCGTGTCTTTATTTTATCTGAGATGTGTAAAATGGTACTGACTTCATGTAATGTCACAAGGATGTGAGGAAAGAAAAGGAATTCAACTGTGTCTGTGATTGTGCTGCCTTTATTACATTGATAATACTGTCTTGTCCCCTCAGATTGGGGTTGTGCACTTTAGGTCTGAACTGTATGGTGTTGCAAATCAACATGTGTTGTTGTAAAAGCTTGTACAATATATTATTGATACGTCTTTTTCTGTGTGGTAGCTGTATTGAACTTTGATATTATGAGAACAACATTCACATCTGTCCCTGTGTTCTCTCTCTACTAAACTGTGCGCCCTCCACAGCAGCTCTAATAGAGAACATGCCCTTGGCTATCCCATATTGAGAAATTTCCTGGGAGAATTGTGTGGTTGAACAAAAAGGCAAGGTAGAAACACAACTTTGTCTATGACACTAGAAATAAACAATTACAGAGTGTTACAAACTGCTAAAATGGCAGGTAATTTACCCTGTTGGGTTCTGGAGTAGCTACTACTCCTCAGAATATGGACTAAGAAAGCAAAGGTGTAAATATAGTAGCAGGACAAGGAACCAAGAAACCACCAACTGGGAACCAACTTGCACGTGCTCTTCTGTTTTCAAACGCTAAATGCAAACACTGTGTATTTATTTACATGTGCCAAAATATTGTTCCTAACTGGTGTATCTGAAAGATGTCAACATTTCCCCCAACATTACTTCATTACTAAAGACAGAATAAATAAAACTTAAAAAATACAAACATGTGGCAACAGGTTCTTACCAAATATAAACTTGTGTATAATTCAAGTATTTTATCTGTGTTGTCTCTCTAAAGCAGAATAAATGTGTAAGTGTGGACATGCCTTAGGTGTTCGGTGCTTATTTCCAAATTTGCAGTGTTGTGATTTCGTTTAATGACTGGCAAGTGGCTCATTTGTCACCAAGCTCAGGTGTCTTTTGGCTGTTTGGTGGAGAAAAGAGATCTTACTTCTGCAGCTTCCCTGTTGCTTCCTGTTTCTTCTGAAGAATATAGGTTGGTTACTTTGTTCCTCCTTCAGTTAGACCCCATCTTTTTGTTTGTTTTGGTTTTGATATTTTGTTATGGAAATTTTCACATACATACAAATGCTGTGAAACAGCATAATAAACTCATATACCCTTCACTCAGCTTCAACAATTCTTAACTCAGGCCAATTTGGTATCATTCATAACCCCATCTTCTCATTCTTCTTTCCCCAAGCCCAAGATTGTTTTATATATATATAGCCATAGGATAAGGTCTGTAATCCACTCAGAGGTGGTAGGGTCCTCTGTTCCTAGAATATAAGATTAACTACTCCCCCTTTTCGTTGCACAACTTCAACCCTTACAGTTAATGGCAATTGCAATTTGTAATGATAACAATTACTATTGAATCAAATTAGTCCAGTCCTCATATCTATCCTTTCGCCGGACCCGTCAAGACAAGATGAAAACTATTCAGTAGAGATTCTACCTTCTGTCACACCCTCTGAATCTAAACTCCCTCATGAAAACTCATAACCTCCTCCTCTCCCCATAACCATCATAGATGGTTTCTTTTATCAATATATATATATATATATGTTGTTGTGAAGTGGCGTGGAGTCGGTTCCAACCCATAGCGACAACCCTGTATAGGGTTTCTGAGGAGCCATAGGATAAGCATTCTACCTCAATTTCAGGTTAAACTACAAGATCGGCTGTTCAACAACAAAATGATAAGCTGGGTGTTTTTGGTTTTTTTCAAAAGCAAACAAACAAACAAAAAAAACGAACTCTCGATACCAGTATCACTGCTGAAACAAAAATAATAATACTACCACAATAATACCATCCCATTGCCTGACTTCCAGCTGCACAACGGGTAAAGAAACTCAAACTCCGCATCACCCTAAGGCTTATTCTTATGTGTCAGAGGTCAGACCTACACCCATCCTCCAACCTTCTTTACCCTATTCTGACACTGACCATCCCTCTACAACACTCTGCTTCTCTGCTGGATTCCATAAGCCATTGCAGTGGCCACACACAACTCACAGATCATGTGCCTGATTATGGAGTTTTATTAGGGATGTTAACAGTGATTTACTAGTGGTTTACTAATTGACTTCAGGTCAATTCCAACTCACAGAGACTCAATGGAGTATACAGGGTCACTATGAGTCCGAACTGACTGGATGGCATTTAACAACAACACGTAGACTAGATTTGTTGTTACGTGCTGTCCAGTCAGTTCTGACTCAAAGGGCTCCTGCATAGTTTCCTGGGAGTGGCAGATGGGTTTGAAACACCAACGTGTGGTTAACAGTTCAATGCTGATCCTACAGCACCACATCAGGATTCCACAGACTCGGTAAAAGGGCCATATCCACTAAATTCACTGTCTCACACCTTTGAACATGACCTTGTTTGGAAAGAGGGTCTTTGAATATGTTATCAGTTAAGTTAACATACTGGAGAAGCATGAGACCTGATCCAATAGGAGTAGTGTCCTGAAGGCAAAGGAAGGATGACCATGTAAAGCTATATCTATAAGCCTTGCACTGCCAGGAGCAGAAAGACAAGAAAAGATCTTCCCATAAAAACTTCTGAGACAACATTGCTCAAAAAATACATTGATTTGGACTTCTAGCATCTAGAACTGAGAGACAGTAAATTTCTTGGCATAGATGAGAGAGCACTTCCAGTGCTGCATTAGTTTGTTGAAATATTTCTATTTGTAATTCATCAATTCTGGAAGCCTTGTTTATTGCCAATGCAGCTTGAACGTTTTCCTTCAGAACCATCAGTTCTTAATCATATGCTACCTCTTTAAGTGGTTGAACATTGAATATTTCTTTTTGCTACTGTGCCTCTGTATTCTTTCCATTATCTTTAAAAAAATTTTTTTTAACTTTTTATTTTGAATTGAGTGAAGGTTTACAGAGAAGATCATCAG